AAGGAGCCTCGTCATCTCAACTAGGAGACAAGAGTGCATAGCCGAGGAGCATGTGCGACCATCTTGGTACCGGAACAGCATGCGCGCATAGAGAGATGCATTCCAAGGTCTATAAAAGGGAGAACATACCAACCAGTCAGGGCAACAATCTCACTGCTGGAAAGAAGAAAAGTTACAAACAAGCCATAATCTGACTGCCGGAAACACTAGAGCTTATCCCAGAAGCCATCCCCCTCCCTTTTTCAGAAACTTCGTCCTTTTCCCCCCAAAAGCCATTCTCCCATTTCTTCCAGAAACCATCACCTACTTTCTTTGTTTTCCATAAACCAAAAAGCCATTCCAAGCTGTAAGAGAGCCTTAAGCCAAAACCCCATTTCAACCCAGGCAGACTCTCTCGCTAAACTCATAGAGACTTAGCTCCCACGCCACAAGCCACTCAAGCCAAGCCAAAATCTCAATTCACAACGATCATTATCAATTTGGTGAGAAGAAACCAGAGCATCCCTTAAGTACTTTCTTTCGGAGTGTTTTGGGGTCTGATTCTTGAACTCAGAAAGGGGGTACTTTCTCTCTGTAGCGGTCCAAGCCCACAAATAACTGCAAGAACAAAATAAGCCCCCACATAAATTGGCGACTCTGCTGGGGAATCCGTCCAATACTCTCACCAATGCCTCCAAAGAAGAAGACCAGGAGCAACAACGTGGCTTCCCAAGACGGGACAGACCATGGTGACTCATCATCAAGACAGAATGGCACCCATAAAGAAGAAATACGAGCAAGTGAAGGAGACTTCACGCTTTCAGACCTCATTGCAGCCGTCCATGCAATGGGACAATCCCAGAGAGAAATGGCAGATACGATCAGGGAGCTGAAAGACCATGTCTCAAAACAGAATGGCAAAGATGAAGAACGACCAGAAAAAACACCACCACATGAAGAGTCAGCTGCCGCCGGAAAAAGTCCTGAGCAGAAAGGGCCATCTTTTGTTACCCAGGAAGATGTTATTGCTATGCTGGAAAAAGAATTGAACCGTAGCCAAGAAGATTGGAAATATGTTCCTCAACCACCGTATCCAGCAAGCTTGCTTCAGCAGCCTTATCCTAAAGGCTATGAAACCCCAAGCTTTGTTCTTTTCGATGGAAGAAAAGGAAGCCCAAAGGAACACGTAAGTCGTTTCATTGACGCTTTGGGGCCACATGCAGGAGATCACAATATGCGGCTCCGAGAATTTTCAAAAAGTCTCACTGACCGTGCATACACTTGGTATACCACACTGGCACCAGGCTCCATCCGGTCGTGGGACGACATGGCAAGTAAATTTTGCAAGAAGTATTCGACGCTTTGGGGCCACATGCAGGAGATTACAATATGCGGCTTCGAGAATTTTCAAAAAGTCTCACTGACCGTGCATACACTTGGTATACCACACTGGCACCAGGCTCCATCCGATCGTGGGACGACATGGCAAGTAAATTTTGCAAGAAGTACTTCCAACATGAAGAAAGAGTTACCACAACTCAGCTCAACAACAGCCGCCAAAAGCACGGGGAAAATCCTGTAGACTTTGTGCGCCGATTCCGAGACTTAGCTCTTGATTGTTATGATGAGAAGGACGAGGAGTCACTTGTTGAAATCTGCATTAGCAACATTGTGGCAGAATATATAGTGTATCTTGAGAACATTGGCATTAGCCAGTTTTCTAGGCTTTTAGAGGCAGTCAGAAAAACAAGCATGTCTGTCAAACCAGGTGCTGGGCAAAAGACTTGGAGAAATGAGAAGAAGGAAACTCAACAAACTTTGGTCGTAGAAGACAAATTGTCAAGTGACTCTAACCCACGCAAATGAAGGGATAGAGAAACGTATCCACCACTACCGTGCAAAGATGAAGAATTTCATGCTATTTTAGACACCATGTTTGCAGATGGTGCCATCAAACTACCAAGACCTTACAAGGTACCTACTAGAGAAGAGAAGAATGACCCAAGGTACTGCCGCTATCACCAATTTGTAGGTCATCCACCGCCGCTTGCCAGACTCTAAGAAAAATCTTGCATGCCAAGATACATGATGGAACTCTGGAACTACCGGCCAAGAATCAAGCTATTGATGAGGACCCTTTACCGAAGCGCAGAGGGAAAGAGGTAGTTGCTGTAATCACATGCTTTGATGATCTGATGGATGATGATGAACTATGCCACCCCTGGAGAAATGATACCAAGCCGCCGGAAGCTATCTGGGAACCATGCGGGAATATGGACAAAGCTTACTGGTGCAAATACTCGAAATCTTTGAGCTACGATACTCCATGGCCGTTTGCTGACGAATGGGAAACCAAATCAAGCTCTGAGGTTTTCTCTCTAAGCATACATGAAGACTCGGGGGCTTCTTCAAGTCAGAACAAACATCAAGAAACTGCCGCCGTAACATTCCATGATCTTACAGAGGCTGAAGCAAAAGTAATAGAATGATACCTGGTTGTAAAGCAAGGGCCTACTGCCTCACAAGTTCTGCAAAGAAATCTTGCGGTGCTTACGGCGGCTAAAATTCCTTTGTCAAAGGTTGTGAAATCTCAGACAAGCATCACCGGCTTCGGAAACAAAAGCGAAGTTACAATCGGATATATACAAGTGGATTTGAAGGTGGGGCCCATTCGATCCTTGACCAAATTTCATGTGTTGGATATAGACGTCGCTTACCACGCTTTACTCGGGAGGCCGTGGCTCAATAAACACAAGCTTGTAGTTTCCACCTATCATCAATGTGTAAAAGGAAGGATTGGGTTGAGACCAATCCGCATACCAGGAAATCAAGCACCATTTAATCAGAATGAAGCCCATTATTCAGAAGCAGAATTTTACACAGAATGCGGAGACACCGGAAGCAACCCGTCCAAAGCCTTCGGAACATATCTACCTTCATGGGCTGAGATACGTGACCTTAGCAATACAGAGCTCATGATGATTATTGAACAAGAGAGAAAAAGGCACATTGAAGTCAACAATCACGCTTATGCCCAACCGCAATGCTCAAAAGTTACACTGCCGAATGGGCGCACTGTGTACCGTTTATGACGGGTTTGGGGGCCTGACCACACTTTGTGGGAAAGCCCCGAGTATGGAGGAGTTATGAGACAAGTCTGCAACATTATGCATGCGCCCACTCACTCTACTTTTCAGGAACTTATGCCGGCGCCTAAATGTATGCAAGATGGTTCCACGACAGTAGCAGAACAGCTGGAAACAATCAACTTAAGCGAAGACCCTTCTGTTCAAAAACCAATCCCCGTCAGTGTTCACCTAACAACAGAAGAAAAAGAGAATCTCGTTAGTTTGTTGAAGGAGTTCAAGGATGTATTTGCTTGGAGTTATGAAGAAATGCCCGGTTTGGATCCAAGCCTAGTGTGCCATACTTTGAACATTGTGCCAGGAACTAAACCAGTTGTGCAGCCAAGAAGAAACTTTCACCCTGATGTAGAAGTGCAAATTAAAATAGAGGTGGAGAAGCTCATGGCCGCTGGATTCATCCGGCCTATCAAACATCCTACTTGGTTGGCAAATATAGTTCCTGTAAAGAAAAAGAAGACAAGCCAAATAAGGATATGTGTTGATTTTCGAGACCTCAACAAAGCTTGTCCAAAAGATGAATTTCCACTTCCCAACATGGACATTTTGATCGACTCAACTTCTGGGCAAGGCCTGTTGTCCTTCATGGATGGATTCAGTGGATATAATCAGATCAAGATGTCTCCTCGGGACGCCTAAAAAACAGCTTTCCGAACACCATATGGGAATTTCTATTATACTGTTATGCCGTTCGGTCTGAAAAATGCCGGAGCTACTTACCAGCGAGCTATGACAGCTGTGTTTCATGACATGATGGGGAAGGAAGTAGAAGACTATGTAGATGACCTTGTGGTGAAATCCAAGTCCAGGGAAGGCCATTGGGAGATCTTGAGGAAGGTGCTGGAAAGGTGTCGACTATATGGTCTGAAGATGAATCCCAAGAAATGTGCGTTTGGTGTTTCATCTGGCAAATTCTTGGGATTTCAGGTACACCAACGTGGCATCAATGTTGACCCGGAAAAGACCAAAGTCATAAGTTCCCTCAGGCCACCGAAGAATCAAAAAGAATTGAAGAGCTTCATGGGAAGGTTGTCATACATCCGACGCTTCATTCCTGGTCTAGCAGCTGTGACAGGCATTTTCACTCCTTTACTAAAGAAAGGCAAGCAGTTTGTGTGGAGCAAAGAATGTCAAGACGCATACAGACAAGTGCAACAACTGATCGTTAAGCTGTCAACCATGAAGGCGCCTACCCCAGGACTTCCACTTAAGCTCTATTTGGCATCAACAAACAGTGCTGTAGGTACTTTGCTTGCTCAAGATAACAATGACGGAGAAGAAAGCCCAATTTATTATGTGAGCAGACAATTAAGAGGAGCAGAGACGCGCTACCCAAAGACTGAGCGACTATGCCTTGCTCTCGTTTATGCCGCACAACGATTACGCCATTATTTCCTTGCTCACAAGCTGCAGCTTATGGTGAAGTCTGACCCAGTAAGGTATTTACTTACCAGACCTGCTTTATCTGGTCGATTGGCACGCTGGCTATTACAATTGTCTGAGTTTGACATCACATGTATAACTCCCTCGGCTATCAAGGGGCAAGCTGTGATCGATATGTTGGCTTTGTTTCCTGAAATCGAAGAAACCACTCTTTCCAAAAAAGTTCCTGGAGAGCTGCCGGAAGTGGCTGGAGCTGCTATAGAAGAAGAGGAACCTTGGACTATGTACTTTGATGGATCTTCTACAAGTAATGGAGGAGGAGCAGGGGTGGTGCTCATTGATCCTGAAGGACAAACTACAGCTCTTTCCTTCAAACTCAACTTCCCATGCACAAACAATGTGGCAGAGTATGAAGCTTTCATCACAGGCTTATCCATAGCTAAAGAAATGGGTGTAAAAAGAATCAAGATGATTGGGGATTCAAATTTGGTACTAAGCCAGTTGCAAGGTGACTTCGCAGTGAAGGAGATGACCTTGGCCCCATATCGAACAACCGCTGAAAAACTAATGGGTGCCTTTGAGCAAATTGCGCTGGAACATATCCCTGGAATCACTAATAGGTATGCCAATGCCTTAGCCACGCTCGGATCAAAGCTGTCTTTCACCAAGGAACAACCTAATATCGCAGTAATAAGAAAAGACATGCCCACGGTCGAAGCGATGTCTCTAGAAGAGGTGCCGGAAGAAGGTGATTGGAGGACTTGTATCCAGGAAGAACTGGTCTCACTGAGAAAGGAAGGCAGCATCAAGAAATTGAAAGAATATGTCGTCATCTTAGGAGAACTATACAGACGTCTCCCTAGTGGCATCTTAGCCCGGTGCATAGGAAAGACTGAAGCACAAAAGCGACTGTTGGAAGTGCACGACATCTCTTGTGGTTTAGACCCAATAATTAGCTTGTACCGTCGCCTACAGCGCAAAGGCTATTACTGGCCAGAAATGAAGAAACAAGCCAGTGAAGTTCAAGCCAGCTGCCCAAAATGTTCCACAATGCCCTCAGTGGATGAGGCATTCACAATCTCATTTGCAGAAGATTGGAGGGCTCCATATCTAGCGTTTTTCATCGATGGGTCAATACCAACCAATACCAAGGACGCTGGCAAGCTAAAGAGAACAGCAAAGCGGTATTTCATAGATGGATCAATTTTGTACCGCAAAGGATTTAATGGAGAGCTACTAAAGTGCCTAGGAGAACCAGAAGCACAAGAAGTTATGCAAGAAATACACGCCGGAGAATGTGGAGAACACCAAGGGAGGAAAAGACTTTACCGGCAGCTTCTTAGCTCAGGATACTATTGGCCTACGATGAAGAACGATGCACACAATCTGGTAAAGAAGTGTCACACATGCCAAATCCATGCCAATCTAAGCCACAAGCCTCCCACGCTATTGCAAGATATGCGCACCCCTTGGCCCTTCCATACTTGGGGGCTTGATTTGATTGGGACTATCCACCCACCTTCCGACGGTTACATATGGATCATCACTGCCACAGAATACTTCACAAAATGGGTTGAGGCGATTCCCCTTCGAAAAGCCACGGGAGCTGCAATTTCAAACTTCATCAGGGAACACATTGTATGCAGGTTCGGAATCCCCTACAAGATCGTCACAGACAATGGCACTCCTTTTGTCAACAAACAGGTGAACTCAACACTTACTGGTTATGGTATCAAGCATCGACGCTCCACGCCGTATTACCCGCAAGGAAATGGTCAAGCTGAAGCCACCAACAAGACTCTTCTGAGAATTCTAAGCAAGATGGTGTACGAGTATGAAGGAGGCTGGAGCCTGCATCTGCCTGATGCACTATGGGCTTATCGCACCTCTCCGAGGATCACCACAGGCTTCTCTCCTTACTCGCTTGTGTACGGATCTGATGCAATCTCACCGGTTGAAATCGCTGTACCCACTGCTAGAGTCTTAGCTGTTAACGACCTAGAGTGGGATGCAGAATCATGCTCGAACTGGCGTTGGATGGATCTGGAAGCTTTAGAGGAAAAAAGAGCAGTAGCTGAGAAGAAAATGGCATTTTACCACAAGACAGTTGCTCAAGCCTACAACAGAACAGTCAAATCACAAAGCTTCAAGCAGGGAGATCTGGTACTCAGGGTCTCTGAACACGTGAGAAGACAAGTATCTGGACCTTCTAAGTTTGCACCACAATGGGAGGGGCCTTTCTTGATCAAAGAAGCTTACAACAGTGGCTACTATTGCTTGGTTTCAGTCAAAGAAGGTACCCTAACCGATCCCATCAACGGAAAGTGGCTTAAGCCATACTACTGTTAGGCCATTCCTTATCTATCCCTTTTCGCTTTAGTTTCAAAAAAAAAACTCCTTATGTAACCTCAATTCGCTTTCAAAGCTTTTGTTGGATGTGCCGTTGTAGTGGCATATGAAGGTGTAAAAGATCCCTGCAATGAAATGAAGGAGTACTTTTAAAAAAAAAAAAATCTCTACAGAATGTTTTGAACGCAGCAAAAAATATACATACCAAGCAAAACCACTTTGATAAGATCCCAAGCAGTTAACAAGCACCTGCGTATGAAAAAAAGAAGAAGAAGATGTATATGGCCAGCATTCAAGCATGAGTTGGAGTTCACAAAGACGGAAACTACTAAAATTTCGTCAACATATATTCGTTTTAAGGTTGGCCAACCTACCAAAATCTCAGCTGGTTTATACATTAAGAAGCATATACTTCCAGCCGAACCTAAAAGCAGGAGTCATGCAATAAAATAGCAAATACGTCAATACATTGCAGTAGCCAATACAAAGCAATCCAAAGTTTTCTACAAAAGGTATCACATGCTACAGAATGGATCGCCATGCTAAAAGCCGGAGCATTAAGAGAGAACTACACTACGCCAAGCCATCATCTGAAATCATGCAGCCTGCAAAAAAAAAAAATTAAGCAAAGAGTGATCAAGAATTAAGCAAAGACCCAAGATGGAAGCCTGCATATATGTGGAAGAAACATAAATAAGGATGCTACAAACCTCAAGTGGACAAATCATACAATACGAAGGAAGCCTTACGAGCTGATCCTGTCGCTTCTGCCAACACACGCTCAGCACCACCCGGAGTAACTCCTTTATTTATCAAGAGCCTACGTAGCTTACAACATTCATTTCTCAACTCATGACTTATTGCTCCTACTTTAGAAAATTGAGCTGATACTTCGGTATTCCGAACAGCCCGCGCCTCAAAAATGGCACGTGCTAATCTCGTCTTCAAAATGTCAAGTAAGAAGTCAATATGAAGCCCCAAGGAGGCGGCATCACGGATCGCATCTCTCCAGCACATAAGCCTATGCTCAGTGACGTCTAAGTATAGTGCGTTATCCATACCATGGAGTACAAGGCCAAGATCTCGAAACACCATATTTTTCAAACGAAAAGGGAGGTTACAGCAGCCCTCCATGCGAGCTCCATAAATATCAAAAAATCTACTCAAAGCCTTCATTGTTTCCGGGAATACTTGTGCGCCCCGAAATGTTTCATAGCCACGAAATACGTAGTGCAATGGAAGAAGCTCATCAGTGGATCTAAGTATTCTCACGTCGCTATCAAAAAAGGCAATGAAGGAATTCAAGTCATGCTCCCATGAAGTATCTACATTCTGGGGGGAAGAAGTTGGTGTTGGCAAGTGAGAAGTTGGTGCTGGCAAGGGGGAAGTTGGTGCTGGCAAGTGAGAAGTTGGTGCTGGCAAGGGGGAAGTTTTTTTTTTGAAAAGAGACAATAGTGTTCATTAGAACGTAAAAGAACGATACAGGAGATGGCCAAGAAGGCCACCAAACCGATACAAAGAAAAGAAAGACCTACACTACATGGCTACCGCTTTCCAGTCTAGATGGATAAGCTGATAGCTAATCTCCCTAAACTCTGCTGTAACAGAAGCCCAAAGTGATGCCCAGACACGGATACGGTCCCATAACTGCTCAATGTCCTCCCCGACCACATTCTCGAAAATTCTCCTGTTCCTTTCCCCCCATATTACCCAGAAAATGGCCATCAAAGCGCAATTTCCCAGCACTGAGCCCTTCCTCCTGCCATCAAAGAATTTCAGCCTAGTTACAAGCAACGCTTTGCAAGTTGCGAAGTTTCCCCACGTTAGGCCTGCCACCTTAAATAACTTAGCCCACAGGGATGAGGCAATCGGGCAAAGTAAGAATAGATGATCCACAGATTCGTTATCTTTTTTGCACATAACACACCAGTTAGGAGAGAAGTACCAGCCGGGTCTTTTCCTTTGGATCAAGTCGCAAGTATTAGTTTTGCCATGAGCAATTAGCCAAACTAATATTCTTACCTTAGGAGGGGCTTTAGCTTCCCAAATTACAGTGGACGGAGAGAAGAGAGATGATTGGTGATTTACCATTAGGTGTCTAGAGAATGATTTACAGGAGAAAGCTCCCGAGGTCTCCAGATTCCATACTCTGGTGTCACTTCTGCTTTGGATCAACACCACGTGTTCCAATCTTGAGAGTAACTCAGACAATTCTTCATTTTCCTCCTCCCTAAGATTCCTGCGAAAGCCAAAATCCCAACTCAGCGGAAGGGAATTCATGTCTATGCACATATCTGCGATCTTGGCATTCCTTTTACAAGAAGTTCGAAGAAGCCGTGGAAAACTCTCGCCCAAAGCTCTAACTCCCAGCCACACGTCTTCCCAGAATCTTATTCTCCCACCGTTGCCCACCTTGAGACGACAGCAAGCCACAAACGAGCCCAAACCTTTAATTATTTCTGTCCAAGGGCAACGGCTAGAACCATTTGACTTCCTTTTAGAATCCCAGCCATTCATCTGCAGCCCATATTTACTCTTTATTACATCATACCAAAGGGTGTTAGTTTCAGTTTGGAATCTCCATAGCCACTTCCCCAGTAGGGCCTCATTACGTTTTCTTAGGTTTCCTATCCCAAGTCCCCCATTTTCCTTTGGTAAAGACACAACCTCCCATTTCACCAAATGATCCTTCTTGCCTTCCTCCATACCCTCCCACAGAAAGTTCCTCAATATCTTCTCCAAGCGCTTTGCCACACTAGCAGGCATTCGGAATAATGATAAGAAGTAAGATGGCAGATTACTCAACACTGCTTGGATTAAGGTCAATCTTCCCCCTCGAGATAGCAAGGCCTTGCACCATCCTTCTACTCTTCGCTCCACTTTCTCGATTACTGGAACCCAAAATGGTAAGGTCTTAGGTTTACCACCGAGCGGCAGACCAAGATAAAGCAGCGGCCAACTTCCCATGCCGCAGCCTATCTCCTCAGACAGTGACTTGACTTCGTTGTCTTCTGCGTTAATTCCAACAATTGAGCATTTACCTCTGTTTATTTTCAATCCAGAGCACAGGTTGAACACCTCCAGAATGTTTAGTAAATTCCTAAAATTTCCTTCCTTGTCAGATAGGAGAAAAATAGTATCGTCTGCAAACTGTAGATGTGATACCATCACCCTATCTCTTCCCACGACCAGCCCCTCAAACAAACCTCTTTCTCTGGCCTTTGAACACAATCTGCTCAGTGTGTCTGCAACCAATGTAAAAAGAAAAGGAGACAGTGGATCTCCTTGTCTTATTCCCCTTGAAGCTCCAAACTTTCCCCTGGGCCTACCATTTATTAGAACTGAGTAGTTTGCTGAACGAAGACACCCTTTTATCCATTTCCTCCATGTCAAACCAAAGCCTTTTTTTTCCAGCACAAAATCTAGAAAACCCCAATCCACATGGTCGTAGGCTTTCTCGAAATCAATCTTGAATATGAATCCTTTTTGGTTTTTCATCCTTGTTTCTTCCACCACCTCGTTTGCTATCAGCACCGCATCCAAGATTTGCCTCTTTTTTATGAACGCCCCTTGCGTTTGAGATATGGTATCGCTCAGCACCTCTCTCAATCGAGCTGCCAAAACCTTTGCAATAATTTTGTACACACTTGTGATCAGACTTATAGGTCTAAAGTCTCCCACCTTGACTGCTTCAGCTTTCTTAGGAATTAGACAGATGTAGGTTTCATTGGTTACCAAGTTCACAATGCCTGACTCATAGAACTCTTCAAACACCCTCATTAAATCACCTTTCAGGATCGACCAACAGTGTTGAAAGCATGCCAATGAGAATCCATCTGGGCCTGGGGACTTTTCCTTTCCGCACTCAAAAACAGCTTTTCTGATTTCCTCCTCTTCGAAAGGTCTTTCCAACCATGAAGCCCTTAATTCCTCCAAAGCACACCAGTCCAAACCTTCTAGTCTAGGCCTCTCCCGACCCTCACTTGAGTATAAGTTTTTGAAGTATGAGATTATTTCTTGTTCAATTCTTCCATCATCTCCCGTAGTGGACCCATCTGCTAATTCTAGTTTTTCAATTGAATTCCGTTTCTTTCTGCAATTAACAATTCTGTGGAAGAACTTTGTGTTTGAGTCCCCTTCTTTTGCCCATGCCACCTTTGCTCTCTGTCTCCAAATGATCTCTTCTTTGAAAGCTATCTCTTCGATTCTTAGTCTCAGCTGCGCTCTCTCCTGTCTTCTGTCTTGGGATAGGCCATCCCTTTCCTCCAATAAATCTAAGTCCTTGATTCGTTCCTTTGCTTCTTTTGATTCGGAGCTATTGTCTCTACTGATTTCTTTACTCCATATCTTCACTTTGTCTTTCACAGCCTTTAGTTTCTTCATAAACTTGAAACCTTCCCACCGATGTTGTAGATCTCCCTCCCACCATTCTTTAAATTTTCCCCTGAAGTCTTGCTGCTTCAACCATGTATTCTCAAATTTAAAGGGCACCGGTCCCCATTTCTTTGCAATCGAGTCCAATAGTATGGGGCAATGGTCAGAGGTTACCCTAGATAGAGCCACTTGCCTAGTGTGAGGAAATAATTCCTCCCAGGCAGGGGTGAACATGAATCTGTCTAACCTTCTTAGGATCGCATTCTCCCTCATATTGGACCAGGTGAAAGCGGCGTTGTGAAGATCCGGGTCACATAAATTTGTCTCCCTGATGAAGTCGTTAAACACCCTCATGCTTCTTGTGATTCTTCCCCCATTGGATTTTTCTGATGGAAATCTGGTGATATTAAAATCTCCCCCGATACACCAATTAGAACCACAGATGCCATAAACAGCAGCTAATTCTTCCCAAAACAGCACCCTGTCTCTTGAGCCATTTGGTCCATACACCCCTGTCAGCCACCACTCTTTTCCTTCTGTATCCACACAATTGATGGAAGCCGTATAATTTCCCAAGAGAGACTCTTTCACCTTGATAGCTTTTGTATTCCACATGATTAATATCCCTCCTGACGCTCCACATGAAGGAATACAAACCCACTCCCTAAATCTCGCTCCCCAAATATTTCCTATTAGTCTTTGGTCGACCTTCTCCTTCTTTGTTTCCTGGATCAGCACAACATCTGCATCATACGTCTTTAACATCTTCTTTATTACCACTCTTTTTTTCCTCCCCCCCAGTCCCCTTACATTCCAGCTAACTATCTTCATTGGTCTTTTTCTTTCCCCCATCCTCTTTCGTAGCTCACCCCGAATTTCAGATTTTCCAGTTCTCGTTTCCCTTTTCTCTTGGTATCCCTTTTTCCTGCTTGAATAACCTGTGTACTAATGTCCTCTTCCACCAATCGCAGGCCCATACTATCCAGCATTGTTTCCATGGTTTCTAAGCTCCCTTTGGGGGCATGTTTCTTTGAGCTCTCAGCAAGTGGTGAGACCCTTTCGTTTTCAAAAGTCTTACTGTTATTCCCCAGTCCAAACTCTTCTTCTTTACCTTCCCCTGAGTTTTCAGGAATTGGATCAATAGATTGATCCAATCCGTGGGGGGAACTAACCTGATTTGACTCGCCAGCCTGGTTATCCTTCTCAGAAAACATCTCTTGCAGATATTGTTCCGTTGCTAAATCCCCTCCCGGTTCCTCCGCAGCCACTGTGTCTACATCCTCAGACTCCACATCAGAGCTTGATAGTTCTTCCCAATTATCCGTTCCGGTGTAGTTCCCCATTTCTAGATCAGAATCAATACCCAAATCGACCTCCAGATCCTTGATGTTTGAGTGAACTTCCATATTCTCCAAAAACATCTGTGTCTCTGCGTCATGACTATCACATATTCGTGCCTGTGTTCCATCAAATAAGCCAATTCCCTCTTCATCGGACCCCCCCTCTTGCAAGTACTCATCTGCAGATTCCTTATCATAATGATTTATCACTGTTGTCAACTTTCCTTTTTTTTGTTTTCTTGCCCCCACTACCCTATCCTTCTCACGCTGGTTCCCAAATTTAGAGGGAGAAAC